TTCAAGACTTTGACGATTAAGGGATGGAAAGGGAGATGCTGCCCGACAATGAGCTGCTCCCGGAAGATCATGATCTCATCCGGACCGTGCTCCCAGGGGAAGTCACCCGTAGGCAAGCTATAAGTGTACTCCCCGGGCAAGTTGAACTGACGAACAAGAGACCGAAGTCTCTCAGACGTCATAGTGGAGGGTCCGAACTTGTCTGGCATCCTAGCTCGATGGGAAGTGGATTCCAGGCTGCCAGGGGTGACCCGGACTGAAGGCCCTACCTCGGGCTCATCTAGAAGGCTGTCAAAAGAGGCAGCTCGACCCGAGGTCTCCGCCTCAGGCCCTCCTAAAAGGCTATCTAAACTACCCGAGCTACTCGAACTAGACATTGAAAAGGAAAAGAATATGAAGAAAGCTAAGGGGACTCACCAAGGAAAAGCTACCGAACTAGGGAAGGTGACGCGAGGTGAAGACCTTGGACGCGAGCTCAAGAAACAAGCGTTGAATATTGGCGAAGGAAAAGTGACCAGGGCCCCCACTATTTATAGCTACTATACCCGCACATCAATGGTCAAGATCAAAGCCATCCAATGGGTCTTATGAAAACCGGCTGCACGACCCCCGAGGTGAAATCAGTTTAGCGCAAATTTTTGACGTCCAAAAAACTGATAATCGTTTGACGTCCGCGCGTGAGCTGTACGCGACCCGGGATGACTCTTGGTCGAGCCAAGAACATAGATAGGTCAGACTGGAGGATCTCCGAACTGGACGAAGCATGCCACAGGGCAAATCCACCCGTCAGTCCGTAAACTCCCCACACCGGGTCAAGACCCCGGGCACGGGGAGTGGGGGGCAATTGATGGAGGTAGATTTGGACCGGCCCTTCGGCTGTGCGACACGTGGAAGCAATCGGGTATGACCTGGCAAGAACGTCTGCTCAGCACAGCGACAGCCATATTCCAAAAAGATGCCTGAGCTCCCCAAGGAGAGGCCCTGAGCTCCCTGAAAGGAACCCGCGCTTCCCAGGAGGTGGAACCCGAGCTCTTCCTAGAAGTCCCGAGCCTTGCAAGGAACCCCGCAAAGGACGAAGCCCGGACTAACCCACCTCGGGTCAGTCCAGGCCACACCCCGACACCTCGGGGCAGTCCGACACCTCAGCTCCAGGTCGCGTGACTGAATAACCGTACCTGACAAGGAAGCTCGTACTCTGAGGCGGCGCGCCTGATTGATCAGGGATTTGACAAAATGACAACTGTACTCCAACGGCCACCTGCTACCGCCATCTCAGTTGTTGCAGAGACAACCCTGATAGAGAAGACAGTGGCGGTTATGCCTGCCCCCCACAGAGGCGGTTATACCTGATCTGGCAGAGGCTTGGGAGTAAGTGCACTAGGGTAGTTATAAAAGACCCTCTTCCCCCAGAGTAAAGGTATGTGATATTTTGTGCCCTCTGGTCTTAGAATCTCTTATTTGCCTTGCCTTCTCAAGAGTATTAACTTGGGCATCGGAGCATTCCTGCCGGGTTCCTCCCCCGGAATCTCTTGTTTCCACCCTGTTTCAGGCATCTCCTGCTCCCTCAGAGGCAAGGTTACCGACAGTTAGGACTGACCGAATCGTGCATCATCAGTTTTCCCCTCCAGTTTTTCTTAAATTTATGAAGCTGCCCTTGAATACTCTTTAAAATGAGGGGCTGAGCGCTTCACTTTCGGTGGCAAGAAGAACAGCCAAGAGAGAGAAAGAGTAAGGGAGGGAGAGAGATGTGAAGGAAGAGCGTAGAAGAGCTCTAGGGAATAGCGAGTTAAAAGAAGGAAAGCTGAGAAGAGAGTTCGGATAGGGAGAGAGCGTAGTCTCCCCCTACCCCCACAGTGGCGATGAATGAAATGTAATGCTCTACATTGAACGGTTGAGGTTACCATATGTATTCCGATGCATCCTTGCCCTTTTTGTGAACCACGTCCTATAAATTCTTACGAGTACCAGTCGTTGCTAACAGCACCAGCCGAATTCAGGCCAAAATACCCGTTCAGATTGAAGTAATTTATCTGGTAATTCCTTTTCCTCTTTTTGTTTTAATCCTTAACTGACACCCTCCCCTGCTCAAATGCGATACTCGATCGTATATCATGAGAGACGGCAATGAACTGTGTTGAGCTGTCTCGATATTTTGTAGTGCCATTTTCATCATTTGCATTTAGTTTAATCTTGTTGTTGCGTGGTATTGCTACTTAATCMTGTTCTATTCATGGCTTTATTTCCTTTTATTTTCACTTCGAAGGTGCTCTGTCATTTAGTTTTGTTTCTTCTCATTATTGTTTTTGTTTTTGTTTTTTGTTACTGATACTTCTGATGTGAGTTGGCATAACATTGAATCCATGGTCTACGTTGGTGATGGGAATAACCATCGAACCAACTTCTACAATGGATTGAACGCAGCTCAGAGTTTACATCTTTAGGTCCATATTACTTTTTCCTAATGGTTTGCATCTTCAGGGATGTTATCTAAAGTTGACAATCAGCGCCGATGATTGTAATATGGTTTCCATATTACTATACCTCGCTCAGATTGGGTTGCTTGTTTGTTGATTGCTGATGGTTAAACCAACAAAAAAGGGGTGCGAGAACCAAATAAGGAGGGCAAGACCGATAATAATAAAAAGGGATAAAAAATGAAAAAAAAGTAACAGATGTAATATGAATTTGGTAGACCCCTGGTGAGTAGCCCGGAAGAGGGGGTATATTGGTGAAACAGAGATTAAGAGGATAAAGATAGGGTAATTGAATGGAACAGAAGTGTATAAGGTAATAAAAGGTAAAAAAATGTAATCAAACAAGAAAAGAGAAATGCATAAACTATTAGTGATGGAGGACGATTTGGCCCAACCTACGAAACGGCGATGCGTGGATACTGACTCAGCATAAGCGACAGCTTAGCATTGTGGCCTAGTACAACCAAGTAACGGGCCCATAAGGCAGCTCGCTACATCATAGCGCGCAAAAAGAGGAGTTCGCCACAACGCGAGCTCCGGGTTCCCCAAACTACCTCTAAAGGGATATTCCGAGGCAACTTTAGCTCGCGAGCTAAGAAACCAACTTGCCCGAGCTCCCAAGCAGACAAGTCTTCCCGAGGACCAATTCTACTAAGGGTACTCTTGAAGTAATTCCGAGCTTGCTGCAAAGTAGCTCGGAATGGGCCGCACAAGCATTCCTCAGGAAGCTTCTATCTGATAGGCCGTACCGATCAGACTGCGCCATGTCCCTTACTGACGGCGCAGTCCCTGTCCTTTTGACAGTCTGTTCCCACGTCTCTCAGCAGGCGGAGGCGTGCCTATCACTTTGGAGACGTGTCAATCACCCGAGCGAGGAGTACGTCACAACGACCACCTGTGCAGCCCTGGCAGGTAACGACTGTGGCAGGGGCCCAGTGGCGGTTATGCTCGATCTGACAAGAACACCCCTATAAAAGCCCTCAGGGCAGAAGAGAAACATTTTCTTGAGACCTCTAATCTCTCAAGTATAGTGATAAAGCGCGACCTACACTCTTAGCTACCGACTCTTCTTTTCCTTCTTTCTTGCGTTCTAACTTAAGCATCGGAGTATTCCCACCGGGTAAAATCCCCGGGAATCCTTCCTTTCCATCTTCTCAGGTGCTGTCCGTTGCCTACAAGGAGCTAGTCAACAGTCAAGTAGGAGTGCYCGGATCGTGCCACATCAATTAGAATTGCCAAAAAGTGTGAGAATTGCTAGATTTTAGTGAGTTGTGATTATACCTAGGGTTAGAATTGCCAAAAAATGTTAAAATCCCATAATTTGAGAAGTATGATGGAAGAAGTTGTCCTAGGGCGCATTTGAGCATATATCATGGAGAGATGTTTCAGCTCGGGGCAAATGAAAGAGTCCTCATCTAACTTTTCCAACGGATACATCTGAACTAGATTACCTTGATTATGATACATCTGAACTAGTCAAACCACACCATTAAATTCTAAATACATCAAAGCACCTGCCCATAAAGTTTTAACCCCATATTTCCCCATTTGCCCTTCCATCGAACCAAGATTTTGTTTCAAAACATCCCATTAACCCAAATTTCTACGATCTTGACCCTCTAAGACTGATCATACCTCATCACCAGATCTTGAACACCTCCAAATACCCACCTATGAAATCTCATCCCAAAATACCTCCGTTTACCCCTCCATCGCATCAAGATTCCATTTTAAGGCTTCAGATTAACTGGATTCCAAATTTGCCCGATCCAAGCCTAGTTGACTCAATCTTACCTCACCAATCACCTCAGATTACATAAAAATCCTACCTTATGAGATCTCAGCCCAAAACACCTTTGTTACCCCTCTTTCGTACCAAGATTCCGTTTCAAGGCTCTGGATTGATCAAACCCCAAGTCCTTTCGACTTGAGCCCATTTGACCCAATCTGACTTTATCAATCATCTCACACTACCTAAAAACCCTGCCCTAAGAAGTTTCATCCAAAACATACCTTATTTGCCTCCGATACCTAGATTAGCAAAATCAAACATTTTCCAGATTTATCCGATTTGGGCCCATTTGGCCTAATCCAACCCAGGACCTCCAAAAACCTCACCCCATTTACCCATCTATGTAAAGATTATGTTTCCGCCGATCTTGTTAGCATACTGACACAAAACCATTCTTTGCAGTCTGACCAATTAAACCTCTCCCGACCTGCAAAGTTGTCAGTTTACCCCCATTTTTTCTTAAATTTACGAAGCTGCCCCTGAATACTCTTTAAAAGGAGGGGCTGAGCGCTTTTCGGAGAGAAAGAGTAAGGGAGGGAGGGAGGGAGGGAGAGAGACGAGAAGGAAGAGCTCCGGGGAAGAGAACGAAGAGAGGGAGAGAAAAGCTTTGAGAGAGAGAGAGCGAGTTAAACGAAGGAGAGCTGAGAAGAGAGTTCAGGGAGAGAACGTCGTCGCCCCCTACTCCACAGTGGCGACGAATGAAGTATAATGCGCTGCAATGAACGGTTGAGGTTACCAGACGTATTCCGGCGCATCCTTGCCCTTTCCGTGAACCACGTCCTAGAAATTCTTACCAGTACCAGTCGTTGCTAGCAGCACCAGCCGAATTCTGGCCAAAATAGCCGTTAAGATTGAAGCAATTTCATCTGGTAATTCCTTTTCCTCTTTTTGTTTTAATTCTCGACTGACACCCTCCCCTGCTCAAATGCGATACTCGATCTTAGATCATGACAGACGGCACTGAACTGTGTTGAGCTATCTCTGTAAAAAGCAGAATGGGAATGTTGTTCCGTAGTGCCATTTTCATCATCTGCATTTAGTTTAATCTTGCTGTTGCGTGGAATTGCCGTTTAATCCTGTTCTGTTCTTGGCTTTATTTCCTTTTATTTTCACTTCGAAGGTGCTCTGTCATTTAGTTTTCTTTCTTCTCATATTGTTTTCGTTTTTCTGTTACTATAATTCTGATGTGAGTTTGCATAACGCTGGATCCATGGTCTACGTTGGTGATGGGAATAACCATCGGACCAACTTCTATAATGGATTAAACGCAGCTCAGAGTTTACGTCTTTAGGTCCATATATCTTTTTCCTAATGGTTTGCTCTGTTTTCTGTATATTTTCATAATGCATTAATCAACATTAATTTCAGGTGTGTTATCTAAAGTCGACAATCAGCGCCGATGATTGTCCTGCTTCTCGTTGATTTTGCTCTTTATGTTAGTTAGAGTTGGTGTTGGCTTAATTTTTTTTCCTATCTCTCTCTTTTTTTTTTTTTAAAATGAATGCAGGGATTTATCTTTCTGGGAATGAATTTCTCCTGAGCTTAATAATCTGGGAAGTGAGTTGTGTTTGTTTTGTTCTTCTTAAAACGAACCTTAGTGTGAACCTGGAACCTTGCGTTTTCTTCCTCGAAGGATAATTTCTCTTAAACACCTTTTTCAGGGAGCTCAGATCCCATGGATGCCGATTTCTTCACCATCTCGTGTTTCGAGTTGTTTGTTACATTAGTCATGTTTTAGTTTTTGACTGTTTTCTGCATTAGTCCCTGTTCTTTAGTGATCAATATTTGGTTTCAAGTATGTCGTTACATTTACGGGAATTGGTTTTTTTTTATAACAATTGACTATACCCGTTTAGATTGGGTTGCTTGTTTGCTGATTGCTGATAGTTAAACCAACAAAAAAGGGGTGCGAGAGCCAAATACGGAGGGCAAGACGGATAACAACAAAAAGGCATAAAAAATGGGAGAAGAAGTAACAGATGTAATATGAATTTGGCAGACCCCGGGTGAGTAGCCCGGAAGAGGGGGTATATTGGCAGAACAGGGATTAAGAGGATAAAGATAGGGTAATTGAATGGAACAAAAGTGTGTAAGGGAATAAAAGGTAAAAAGAATGTAATCAAATAGGAAAAGAGAAAGAGAGAATGTGGAGACCCCCGTATGTAGCTTTACCACCACACTCACATATAGGCTCTAGCATCATCATCATGTTTCCATTTTGTAAGTGGTGTGGTTAGGCAAAGGAGGTTGGTCAAGTCTCAGAAGGTTCGGAGAGGACGACAGGAAAGAGAGAACGTKGAGAGAAATATTGGTTGTAGAGGACAATGGGAAAAGAGTAGAGAAGGGATGATAAGAGAGAGGTCCGCTAAGAGACTCTAGGGTCAAAGTTATTTGGTTCTCTGACATGGGGGAGAGTTATTCCCTCTTTTTTATAGAGAGGTCCTAAGGCTATAAGTAGAAGTATCTAAAAGGAGACCTTTCCTATTAGGAGAGGGGATCTTTATCTTTATGTCGACTATTAAGGGAGCACCATGGGATTTTTCCATGTGTCCAACAAGATCCTTTAGGGATAGAGTTTCCCTTCTCCTAAGGATTCTCGCGTGGCATATGTAGGCTATGTCCCCTTACGGGTTTCCTTGTGGACACATGTCAAGGGTAAGACTTGGATTTGATTGGTGTGCTCAGGTGTTTTGCTCGATCGCTTCTGAGGTGCCTTGTCACAGTTGGTTGTGAACAGAAGGAATGCCAATCTCCTGTAGGCGGGTGTCGCCGGCCTCGGGGTCTATCCTCCATTCGTTACAGTAGGAGTTGCCATTTCATGCTCATCGCAAGGTGCTGATAGTGCACTGGGCTCTTGCAATATCATTTTATGTTCATCGCAAGTCTCAGGTGGTGCTAATTGCTTATTGCAGGTTCGGGGAGGTGTTTTATGTTCATCGCAAGTCTCAGATGGCGTTTCATGCTCATCGCAAGTGTAGGATGGCTTTTTGTGCTCATCGCAAGTGTGTGGCCCTCATTGTGCTATTTCAGAGGTGTTCCGGTTGGGATTTCTCCGTTTTTCTTTTGACATCTCCACCGTAGTCCCGGTGATAGTGAACTACATGTACTTACACATTCTATAGCTTGATAGTGGTTCAATTCCTTCCATACTGAGGTAATGGCTGAATAATAGGCTGACAAACTACGGTTTTGATAGGTCCCGGAGATTTCGCACACAATTCTCAGTCACACGGCAAAAATTACACAACTCCAATGAAAAGAAACTGGTATTCATTCAGAGAAAAGCATTAACACTCAAAATATTCTTCACTCCCAAAAAACATGCCCTTCCCCTTCCTCCAAAGACCCTTCTTATACCCTTCTGACAGCATAACTGACTCCCCCTATAATTGCCCAATTGGCCTAATTATAAATGCCCAAAACTCTTCTTATTCATAATTGACATAGCTGTAAATGCCCCAAGACTCTTCTTATTCCCTTTTGACTTCCTCTATAAATGCCCAGCTGGCAAGCCCCATGTGTTCAATCATTTCCCCCCCTTAATYGATTGCTGCCCTTTCCTTCTCCTCGCATACGTAAGGTTAATTGGGGGCCTATCAGGTTCCCCTGTTTACAGGTTGAGGATTCAGCTTGTAATTGGTAGATCTTGGCATAGTGCCTTTTCTCAGAATAGATGGTTTTGGCCTGTTCCCATATCTCACTCGTAGTGTCTGCCCACATAAAGTTCTTCTTCACATCAAATTCCATGGCTGCAAGAAGCCAAGACATCACCATACTGTTTTCTTGGTCCCATTGATCATGTTCAATAGTCCCACTCTTGGGTTCTTGTATTCTTCCATTTATGTAACCAACTTTTCCCCTTGTTGGTACACAAAGTTTTACACCTTTAGCTAGTGATTTAAAAGGCACGCCTAGGCGCATTTTAGGGTAGGTGCCTCGCCCAGGTTCTAGGTGCAACCCTTTCAAAAGGTGCACGCTTGGTGCGCCTTGTGCCTCCGCCCAGTCATGCACCTTTTGAAAAGGGGAGATAAGAACACATCCTTTTTTCATGCTTTTGCAAATAGAAGAATAAGAAGAAACCTGATAACAAGAAAAGAATTCAAGTAAAGGGGAGGTGGCAGACACTTGGGAAGAGATTCAAGAGAAAGTGATTGCTTACTATAAAAATCTGTACTCAGGAAGGTAATGGAGTTGGATGGCATTGCGGGATTTAGAACCTAGTCAGCTGAGTGATATTTCAGCAAGGTGGTTAGAGAGGGAGATTGAAGTAGCAGAAGTTAAGGAGGCTCTGAAAAAGATTAATGGAGACAAAGCACCAAGGCTTGATGGCTTCAATTTTGACTTAATTAAAAGCTGTTGGCACTTCTTGGAGGACTTTATACAGATGTTCTAGGAATTTTGAGTTTAAAGCATTAGATAGAAGAGAAAATGCAACATTTATTTCCCTAATTCAGAAGAAGAGTGGGGCAGTGAACATAAAAGACTTCAGGCCAATAAGTTTGATAAGCAACCCATACAAATTATTGGCAAAAGTGTTGGCATATAGGCTAAAAAAGTTGATTCATGAGGTGGTGGGGAAAACTCAAACAAGTGTTTGTGGGGGGGAGACATTCTGGATGGGGTATTGGCTAGTGAATGCATGACTAGAATAAGAAGTGGGAGACCGGGTTTTGTTTGTAAGTTAGATGTAGAGAAGACTTATGATCATGTAGAGTGGGGATTCTTGGAAGAGATGCAAAGGTTGATGGGGTTTGGGGAGAAGTGGAGGAGCTGGATGTATTGGTGTTTATCATCAGCATCTTTCTTCATGCTAATTAACGGAGTCTCATCTGAATTCTTCCAAGCCTCTAGAGGGTTGAGACAAGGGGATCCAATCTCCCCCTTGTTATTTGTAGTAGTGATGGAAGTGCTGAATCTTCTTATGAAGGAAGGAGCTCAAAGGTGCTGGTTAGAAGGTTTCAAAGTGGGCTTAGATGGTCTGTGCATCTCTCACCTTCAATATGCAAATGATACACTCATTTTTATGGATCATCAGTAAATCAGGTATTAAATCTAAGAGCTATTTTGGCAAATTTTAGGATGTTGATGGGGATTAAAGTGAATTTAGAAAAAAGCCTATTGATCAAAGTTGGAGATTTGAGCAAGGAGGATTTGGAGCAGTTTGCAGTTGTGTTGGACTGTAAGGTTGGGGAGCTACCTTTTCTTTACCTTGGGCTTCCGGTTGGTCTAATCCAGCTTGCTGCTATTATAAGCATCTGCTGGAGGCCGCCTCATATAGAGAGAGTAGAAAAGAGGTTGGATAGGTGCAAGGCTAAGTACCTCTCATTGGGAGGTAGAATTACTCTGATAAGGAGTGTTCTTTCTAGCTTACCAACTAATTACCTTTCATTGCTGAGGTGGTTAGGAAAATTGAAAAGGTCCAAAAGGATTTCCTATGGGAAGGGGTGGGGGGGAACGTAAGAAGTTCCATCTGGTCAATTGGGAAAAGGTGTGTAGGTCAAAGGGGGGGGGGAGGATTGGGGCTGAGAAGGATAAAAACATTTAACAAAGCTTTATTAGGGAAATGGTTGTGGTGATTTGGGCAAGAGGGAGAAGGGGAAGCTTTATGGAGGAGGGTGGTGTTAGGGAAATATGGAGTGGTGAAGCTTGGGTGAGAAACAAGAGAAGTAAGAAGCTTTTATGGGGTAAGTGTTTGGAAGGGAATTATGAGGTTTAACTAGGAATTCAGGGGACTGATTAGATTCAAAGTGGGAGATAGATCTAGAGTTAGGTTTTGGGAAAATGAATGGATTGGAGTGGGTAAACTATGTGATGTTTGTCCAAGGCATGCTATATAAGTTGACTGACACCAAGTCACAATTGATCAATGCTACGAGTGGAGAGGCCCTTTACTTGATCAAGAAGTGGAAGAGTGTAATCTTCTGTTGGAAAAATTAGAAAAGTTCCAGTATTTCTATATCTGCAGGTGATGGTCTTTGGTGGAAACAGTGCAAAGATGGAAGGTTCTCAGTGAAGTCATTTTACAAGGCGTTAGTTAGAGAGAGAGAGTATGGGTTTAGGCCAGATAGAAGGTGTGTGGGGTAACCCGGTGCCCCCAAGGGTGGAAGGTTTTGCTTGACCGGTAGCTCATGAGTCATGACAGCGTTGTTACCACTGATCACTTGAAGATTAGAGGTTTCAACTTGGCGAGCTATTGTTACTTGTGCAATATGGAAGAGGAGACAATTCTTCATTTGTTTTTTTTCCTGCAATGTGGCAAACTTTATATTGGAAGTTCTATTCTTTCCTTTTTGGAGTGACTGTTTTTCAACCTTCATCTTTGGCAGAAATCTTCTCCAGATGGCCAAAATTCAGAGGAAGCAAGAAAGCTAGAATCTTGTGGAGCTGTATCCCATTTACAGTTTGCCAGTCACTATGGAATGAGAGGAACAAAAGATTATTCAAGGATAAATTGAAGAGCATTGATCTTTTTGTAGCAGTAGTGGATAAACTTGTAACAGATTGGGTTCTATCCCTTCCAGAGTTTGACCAAGTCAACAGATTTGATTTGTTAGAGAATTTCTAGAGTGTTCTTGATCTGCAACCTTCTAATGTGGATTTATTTTCAGTTTGAGTTCTTTTTCTGGTTTGGTATCTCAGTTTGACAACCATCTACTCTATAATGTATCTTCTTTTTAGTTTAATGAAAATTTTCTTCTTTATCCTTCAAAAAAAAAAAAATCTGCCTTGCCATCTGTAGGTCCTACTGACCCCTCTACTCCAATTGTGCAGCCACCTTCAGACCTTGACCTCTCCATTGCCTTTCACAACCTTTCACAAAGGTAAGCGTTCTTGTATTTTGCACCCTATTAGTCACTTTGTTTCTTATCAATCATTATCACCTTCTGCCCTTGCTTTTGTTACTTCCCTTTCTGCAGTCTCTATTCCTAAATCCCTTATAGGAGGCCTTGTTTGACCCTAGGTGGAGGACAACTATGGAAGCAGAAATGTTTTTTTTTTTTTTTTATGAACATTTCTGCTTATGGTAAGCAACCTATGGGATGTAGATGGGTGTATGCTATCAAATTTAATCATGATGGTACAATGGATAGGCTTAAAGCTCGTTTAGTTGCTAAAGGGTTTGCTCAAACTTATGGTGTAGATTTTGATGAAACGTTTTCTCCAGTTGCGAAGATCATCTCTGTCCGTTTGGTTATTTCTTTGGCTGCACTAAATCATTGGRCCTTGTATCAGTTAAATATTAAGAATGCTTTCTTGCATGGTTACTTTATGGAAGAAGTGTACATGGAACAACCACTTGGGTTTGTTGCACAGGGGGGGTATAGGGGCATGGTTTGCAGGTTAAAGAAGGTTTGAAACAGTCTCCATGTGCTTGGTTTGGAAAGTTTAGTGAAGTAGTTTTTTGGCTTACATAGATGTCAATCCGACTATTCTTTGTTTAGTAGGACTTTTGATGGTGGTACCATTATCCTTGTTGTCTATGTAGATGATATTGTTTTCACAAGGAGTGACTCACAAGGCATTAGTGAATTGAAGCATTTTTTGCAAGAGAGATTTCATACTAAAGATCTTGGCAAGCTGAGATATTTTCTTGGCATAGAGTTGTGAGATCAGCCACAAAGATCTTAGGTTGCCCCTATATGTTGGATCTACTTGAGGAGACAAGTATGATGGGATGTAAACCAGTTGCCACACCCATGGATCCCAATACTAAACTTATTTCAGGTCAGGGGGAGTTAGTAGATGATCCTAGGCAGTACAAGAGACTTGTAGGGAAGCTAAATTACATTTTTTATATAAGAAAGAAGCTAAATTAATTACTATCACCCATCTAGATATTTGTTTTGCAGTGGGGGTTGTAAGTCAGTTTATGAGCTTGGTAATTTCTTTCCATTCTCCTCTCTTCTTTCTCTCATCTTCTCTCTTCTCTTCTCTTTTCTCTTTCTTTCCTTTTCTATTTCAGTCTGGATTGTTCTATGCTTCTATAATACCATATTTTCACAGTATGGACATTTTCTCTTCTTTTAAAAGGCATGCTTCAGTGTTAAGCAATGGACCTAATTTTCTTATTATCTGTTTAATAGAATGTTAAAAGTCCATCCTTTTAATTATGACTGTTAATCTCCTGATTATAATTATTTTTTTTTGATAAGAAGGTAATATTCATCCAAACAATAAAATCAAGAAGACCATCATTCCCAAGCAAAAATAGCTAAAACGATGCACAAATATGCAATCCCAACCTCAAAAACATTAATATTAAAGCCCTACTTCTCCCAAGTAAAGACTGTGCTGTTATATGTGCCGCTGTGCTGTCTCATCTTAGCTGTTGAGTCGCTGCACCTTGTTTACCTATTTGAGCATCAGATCATCCTTAAATCATCTGCCTCCATTTCTAATAGAAATGCTGCCTCAGTGACTAGTATAGCAGTAACATTGAGTTCTATGTGGAGATTCCATGAAGTATTACTGTTGCATCAATAGCATTTTCTTAATAGGTTCAGCCTCTTAATGTGTTTAGTGGTGCTGTTATATCCAAGCCAGTTTCATTAGGTAATGAATGATGCATTGTTTATATATAGTCTTCATTAGATAATGATGAAACAGGATTCTTGTAGCCGACCCATATAGTTGGAATAAGGTCTGGATGATGATGATGATGATGTTTAGTTTTCTTTGACCATTATGGTTGAGTTTGAGAAATATGTCATTTCTGCAGGTATTTTGGTGTACTTTTTTGTTTCTCATTATTATGTTCCTTTCAACATCTCTGACTAAAAGTCTCTGGTTTGTCTTTCTTGTTTAATTTTGCACTCTCTTCTAGTTTTGGAGATGTAATTAGGAAAAAAAAACTTCTCATGCAAAACAATCCACTCCTTTATTTCCACTTACCATTGTTCTGTTGTACACCTTTTTTGATCAATAACAGAAACTTTATATTTAAATGGTGGAAAGGAGAAATAAATACTGAAGCCAAGGGGAGAGGTAGACTCTCTTAACCCCCCCCCCCAAAAAAAAAAAAAAAAAAAAAATAAAATAAAAGCAAAAATTACAAGCAAGCCCAAAAANCCAAAAAAAAAAAAATAAAATAAATAAAATAAAAGCAAAAATTACAAGCAAGCCCAAAAAGACTGAGCCCTTCCCAACCCCTGTTTAACCAATGCATCAGCAAAGGAGTTAGCACTCCTTTTAACCCACTGCAGTCTTACTTCCATTCCTGGGTTAGCCACTTAAATTTCTCTCTTCCATTCACAAATCCCCACTGCCCATTTTCATCTTTTTTCTAACCATTCAATTGCTAGATTCACCTTCAATAACCAGTTTATGAATATGTAACTCTTTTGCTCTTTACACTTTCCAAGACAGCCAGGATTTCAGCTCTGGGAGAATCCCCTACACCAATTGGCTCTGAGAATTTAAGTAAGGATGTTGAAATTCAGTACACATGGGTTAAGAGAAGTGCAAACTCACTGGCAGATGGTTTAGCTAGGCGAGGGGTTAATAGAACCTCTTTGTTTTGGGCTTTATTGTAATTGTATTTGCTGCTCATAGACTGTTATAGGGAGCTAAGATTGTCTAGCTCCCTTGCTTTGTAATTCTTCTTAATTTTAATGAATACATTTCACAGTTATTGATAAAATAAAGGCTCCGAGAATAAAACAATAACTTTTCCTTCCTCATTCCTGAATACTCCTCCAATGCCCGAAGGACTGTGGTTGCCTTCACTGCTCCCATCAAAGTTTAGCTTTGTAAACCCACCATCTGGGGGAGACCAAATGGGATTGATTACAACTTTACATGGTGCTGATATAGCCACTTCCTCCCAGTTATTAAGCAAACCCATGTTTTGTTCTGTTTTACATGATATAGTGGGTATGGACTGAGACCAAATTCAATGAGGTTTAAGCTCAATACGTTAGAGGCTAACTTGATAAATGCATACTTCATGATCAAAGTGCATGTCTCTCTACTTTCATAAGCTTATGAAAGTAGAGAGACATGCACTTTGATCACTTCCTCCCAATTATTAAGCAAAGCCCATGTTTTGTTCTGTTTTACATGATATGGTGGGTATGGACTGAGACCAAATTCAATGAGGTTTAAGCTCAATACGTTAGATGCTAACTTGATAAATGCATACTTCACGATCAAAGTGCATGTCTCTATTTTCATAAGCTTGATCAGATTATATATGTTTAAGTATGCCTACGTTTCTCCTTGATATTCTCCTTTCTTTTTCTTTTTGGCTAGAAGAGAGTACCTACTGCTAGCTGTTTTAGTAATTTAGTTCTTCCAATGAACTTAGCTCGACATGTTTGATTGGGTCCAATGTTGTAGATCTTAATCAGGAACAAGGTTAGATTTGATGCTTCATTTTTTGTTGTCTCAAAGCTAACTGGTTGCACCATGTTTACATATTGGCTAGTTGCTTAAATTTAGACCCATATTAACATAAAGGTGATAGGCCCCCAATTATCCTCACATATGCTAGGAGAGGAAAAGGGCAGCGTAAGCCATGTCAGCAGTCGGTTAAGGAGGGAAATGTTTAGATACTGGTATGCTTATCGTAGCTATGCCAGTTGGGCATTTCTAGAGGGAGTTAGTTATGTCGCGAGACAAAGGGGGGAACGCGCGCAACGCCGAAAAATAGAGAAGTTGCTCGACTTGCGGTGGGTTTCCCGACGAAGGCTGAAGGAGCTTAGCCCCCTGCGACGCTCCTCAGAGAAGCCGAAGCCAAGTTATGTTAAAGGAAGATGATGACTAGCTTGGGTAGTGTTCGGTTGATGGTACTAGCTTGGGTAGTGTAAACGACGAAGGCAGTTGCGCTGGAGGTGACGTGGATGAGTGGAATATTGTAAGATTATTTTAGGGTGACAAAGGCAAGCGGTACAACCCGTTCCCAAGACCTCAGAGTGTGCAAGGAGGATCAGAAGGGGCAGACCGGGAGAACCGGAAGCAGAGCAGGAACACACCATC